GTAGGTTTTATTGAAGACGTTTCACCTTTCATCCAAGAGGGTTAGGAGAAGTGAAACGTCTTCAATAAAACCTACTTTGTCCAGTTGCCCTCGATGTAACTATTTTTGGATTAAATGACTGAGAACCTACACAGGCAGCTTTTGATTGTGCCTTGTTTGGTATTGTCTTAACAGATGTAATGGAGGAGAAGACTTGAGAACACAGCAGCTTGGACTCTGCCAGGAAGAGTGAAGGAGCAACTTTATTTGAAGCAGATCACTTGTTTGCTGGACTGGTGAGTATTTTACTGAAACGTTTTGGCAACAGATAGTCTTTTTAGATCACTTGTTTGCTAGACTTGAGTATTTTACTGAAAGTTTCTGTCATTGACAGAAACTTTCAGTAAAATACTTAAAGATACTTAATGCTCACTTTTTTGCAACTGTTTTTTTTTTTTTTGCACTTAGTATTTATTTTAGCTTTTGCACTTCATTGTTAGATATTTAACACACTTTCCAGAGGAAAAATTGTACTTTCATTGTGATCTGTATTTGATTGTTGTAAACCTTCCTGAATAAAGAAAGTTGTTGGAATATTGTGTGTGTTCTACAATTATTTCTAGAAATTGAGCAAAAAAATATGAAGCAAAAAGAAAATATGAATGGAGTCCTCATTGCCTTTTAGTACCAACCAGAATAACCAACAGCACAACAACTTTTTACTCTTTTAATAGCAAAACACTTTAAATTTGCAAAACATGCATTCAATCACAAAGGCCATAGATACACATTTAAAACAATACATGTCAGATTCCATACTTACACTACTTCTGTCACCCATCTGCTCACAGGATTCAAAGGTTCGTCTCTTCCTCCTCTTCTGCGACAAAGTAAATGCAACAACTCTGTTCTGGCTGCAGTGAATCATCCAAAGGTTACCTCTCTTCTGCTTCTCTTCAGAAAGCTGGCAGCATGCCTGCAACCTCCTCCTCACAGGCTATTCCTTGGTCATGGGCTTGAACTTCCTGTGGCCTAAAAAAAAAAGTCAATGTGTTAAAACTCAATAACAAAAGCACTGAAGTGCACTAAGAAACTCCACCTGATGGGGAACATGTGGATATTTCTCAACAACAATTCTGAAGTTTTAACAAAATGTTAAAACTCTTCAGCATGATCATTTATTGAAACTACAACCAAATATCATTCCTGGGAAAAAAACTAAATCGCACTCAGTAAAATACACTTACCGGTTTAAAGATGGCTTTGTGGGTCATGTGCGTAGTATTTGCCCTTTCCAGCCTCCGATGCCCTGTAAACATTTCACAACATCCTGTAAATTAAGTTTCATTTCAGGTGACAAAAAAATTGAAATGTTTCTTTTCTTACTTGAGAAAAATGGCCAGCACCATGTCGTTCCCGTAACAGAAACCAGATGCTTCGGACTTCTTGGCGTGGTGAAGTCCAGCGTTCTGCTGCTACACCTGAAAAGATTTAATTAATCAATTTCATACGTGCATGAGTGCACGCACACGCTTAAATAATGAAAACGTGTAAATTCGTACCCTCGATAATAATGTGCCGTCTTCTTCATAGGTATCTCATTTTTACAATGCACTGTTAACCGGCTTGTTCTGTGAGGAACAAGCCGCAGCATTTTCGCCAACACACGTGGCTAAAGTCGCAACACCCAAAATATTTGGACCACTCAAACCAAACGGTCTTCATGCAGATATTTATATTGCAAATATTGCAAAACATGCAATCAATCACAAAGGCCATAGATACACATTTAAAACAATACATGATTCCATACTCACACTACTTCTGTCACCCATCTGCTCACAGGATTCAAAGGTTCGTCTCTTCCTCCTCTTCTGCAAAGACAAAAAGTAAATGCAACAACACTACTTGTTCTGGCTGCAGTCAATCATCCAAAGGTTACCTCTCTTCTGCTTCCTTTTTTCACCAAGCTGGCAGCATGCCTGTAACCTCCACCTCCTCCTCCTCACAGGCTATACTTCCTGTGGCCTAAAAAAAAACTCAATGTCATGTTAAAACTCAATAACAAAATCACTGAAGTGCACTAAGAAACTCCACCTGATAGGGAACATGTGGCTATTTCTCAACAACAATTCTGAAGTTTCAACAAAATGTTAAAACTCTTCAGCATGATCATTTATTGAAACGACAACCAAATATTCCTGGGAAAAATCTAAATAGCACTCAGTAAAATACACTTACCGGTTTAAAGATGGCTCCGTGGGTCATTGTACTGCCCTCGCAGTGCGTGTACTTATGCAAAGCTAGACAGTCAGATAACGGATAGAATATTTCAGAAAACCACAAGGCTTGACTTTTCTTGTCCTTTAATGAAATCTTCTATTTCCCAACCGAATCCGTAAAACTGAAAATTATACAGAGATAAAAACACAATTTACTTAAACATTGTACAAGTAAGGGAATGCGTAAGTACGATTCAATTAGCATCTATCAATTAACAAACTTAAAAAAAGTTAACATCTGTTGAAAACTAGTAGAGTATGTATGAAAACTTAATACTTACAGATAAATATTCTCTGAGGCTAAAGTGTAAAAAAACTCCAACAACGTTATCTCAGTAGTCTGTTTAATCTGTATGTGTTCGTCTGAGCTTGTAATGGACAAAACAGCATAGCTGGAACTAACTGAAAGAGCACTCACTCAGACGCAATTTCTCGAGACCAAAGAAAAGACCGCTCACTCTGACACGGTTTCTCACAACCAAAGAAAAGACCACTCACTCTGACGCGGTTTCTCACAACCAAAGAATATAGCTGTTTTAAACGTGTTCAATGTTTAATGTATGAACTTTAACTTAGCATTTTAACTTTTTAACCCTTAAAGGCAGAACACTTTATGCGCTTGATGTAATTACATTATATCACTGCAGATATACACACATTAAAGGAGAATGCCTTCTATAAACAATACACATTAAGTCTCTGAAAGAAGAACTACAATCTCTGAGACCGGCCTTAAGAACACCTTAGCTGTCCCATCCTTCACGATCCGCACCTCTACTTTGCGGACTCTGCTGTCGCTGCTTGGCAAAGCCTTAACAACTAGTCCCATTGGCCATTCATTTCTGTGGGCTTGGCTGTCTTTCAGTAAGACAACATCTCCTTCTTTGACATTTGG